CTGACTTATTCTGGGAACACTTTCTCCTCACCCATACTGGAACAAACCAGTCTTTTCCACTCACCGGATATGCTGTTCCCTCTGCCTGGAGCACCCTTTCCTCAACTGCCCTGGTCATCCACCCCCAACACCCTGTCTAGATTCAATGAATAAACTGCTAACTTTTGCCTTAGTGAGCCTAAGCATAGCACACTGGGTTGCTCTTGTAGTTTCAGGCCAGCCATGCCTGAAACACCCACAGCCAGGTTCCGTATAGCCCGTTAGGCCAGTTGCAGAGCCACATGGGTTTCTGGTCTCATATATTATAGTCTCTCTCCTGCCCAGGGAGAAGGCTTGGAGTCCCAGCAGAAGACCATTCTATCCTATATTTATGAGCGCACACCATGGGCTTCTCTCAGAAATCTTCAGTGCAAAAGTTGGCATGCCATTTCGGTTGGACACAAGGATGTAGAGGTGAAGCATTCCTCAGTGAGATGGCATGGGAAGAGGATGCCCAGCCCCAAGGCACTCCCTCTGCCCTCTTCTGCTCCTTGGCCTGAGCAAGAACTTACACTCAGACCACCTGTACTCTTTCCAAAAGAAAAAAATATGCTGCAAGATAGTATCTCCTATGTGTAATAATGTCTAAGACATTATTTGTGGGGACTGGTCCTAAAGTCTTCTGCTTTGGTTAATTTGGGTAAGGGACTCACTACTAAGAAGGAATCCATAACCAATATTCACTGCAACACTGCTCACAATAACCAAAAGATGAAAGCAACTGAAATGTCCATCAACAGATGAATGGGTCATCAAAATACGTCATATACATACAATGGAATATTACTTAGGCATAAAGAGTAATGAAGTTCTGATTCAGTCCACAATGTGGATGAACCTAGACAACACCACCCTGAGTGAAATCAGTCAGTCACTAGAGAGCAAATGTTTTATGATCTCATTTATATAAAATAGGCAAAGGGAGCTCCAGTGGTACACTGGTTAAACCACTGGCTGCAACCAAAAGGTCATCAGTTTGAGTTCATCAGCTACTCTACAGAAGAAAGATGTGGCAGTCTGCTTCCACAAATATTACAGCCTTGGAAACCCTATGGGTAGTTTTACTCTGTCCTATAGGGTCGTTATACGTCAAAATCGACTCAATGGCTATGGGTTTTATTAATTTTTTTGTTTTGCTTTGTTTTTGGTATAGAAACCAAAGTTTATTAGTGGTCACCAGGGGTGAAAGAAAACAAAACAACAAAAAAATTCAATATAAAGAAAACAAAAATCCTCACAACTGGACCAGTAAGTAACATCACAGTAAATGGAAAAAAGACTGAAGTTATCAAAGATTTCATTTTACTTGGATCCACAACTAACACCCATGGAAGAAGCAGTCAAGAAATTAATATCGTATTGCACTGGGCAAATCTGCTGTGAAAGGCCTCTATAAAATCCGAAAGAACAAAGATGTCACTTCGAAGATTAAAGTGAGCCTGATCCAAACCAAGATATTTTCAATCGCCTCATATGCATGTGAAAGCTAGACAATGAATAAAGAAGTCCGAAGAAGAAGTGATGTCTTTGATTTGTGGTATTGGTGACGAATGCTGAAAACACCCTGGACTGCCTGAATAAACAAATCCTGTCTTGGAAGAATGATAGCCAGAATGCTCCTTGAAAGCAAGTAGGGCCAGACTTCATCTCACTAACTTTGGTCATGCTGCCGGAAGGGACCAGTCCCTGGAGAAGGACATCATGCTTGGTCATGCGAAAAAGGGGAAGACCCTCATCGAGATGGACTGACGCAGTGACTGAGCTGCAGCACAGCAGGGATCGTGAGGCTGGCACAGGGCCGGGCAGTGTTTCCTTCGGTTGTGCACAGGGTTGCTCTGAGTCAGAGCCGACTCGACGGCACCTAACAATCACAAGGGCTGGGAGGGAGAAGGGGAAGCAGGAGTGTTAGCTGAGGGGCACTGAGTTTCCGCTAATGGCGGCAGAGTAATTCAACAATGGG